GGCACAACATCGTGGGCTGAAGGGCAATGACACTAGGTTATGGTCCTGACAAAGGGGCTATGCTCTGAAAGCTTGGGATTTCAAATAAACCTGTTGACTACAATCTGGTGTCATGTGACTTCTGACTTGGTCCACCCCAGTCCAACACTGGCACCTCCACATCATTTCTAACTTTGATAACAGCTATTTTGGTCTTATGGCAGAAGCAAAAACCTGATGGGACTTGGGGAAATTAAACATCAGTTTAGAGAGAAAAATGGTTGGATATCTGGTGGTGATTTACAAGAATGGCAGATGGGGAGGGAAGAAAGGTCATGGGTTATTGTTAGGGAGGGGGTAATGACAGCAGACATGGAGAACAGGACAATATTATCAGCGAAGATATAGCAAGGAAGCCAGGAAGGGAAGTGGAGTTGTTAGCAGTTTAAAGGAATTAGGGCTCATAAAGCAGATAGATCTCGTAGACAAGATGAGCTCAGACCGAACACGAGGGGAGATGAGAGAGAAATGGGAGAAACACTGTTGTTCAGGACTGGTGGTGGTGGTGGGCGGGAATGAAGGTTAGAGGAATTTCTGCAAGTGTCTTCGGGAATGGAGGGAAGCAGGGATGAAGTGATTGTAAATTTCAGTGACAAAAAAATCCATAAGTACATTGTGTTGTTGGAGGTAACGTTGGGAGTTAGAGAAGTGTAGTCTAAGAATATGCTTTGCAGATGAGAAAAGAAGCTGGGTATTGTTGTTGCATTTCAGTGTGGTCCCTGAAATAGTGAGCAGTTTTCGGACATGATGGCAGGACCTGATTGTGCATTGAGATGCAAACAATTCTGACAGTAGTTTGCATCTACTACACTTAAAGAAACAGAGATGAGGATCTTTCTGGGGAATGGCTAAGGTGGGAGAGTGTAATGGTTTTAATAAGGACCATGGGATCAAAGGTGAAAGGGACAGTATAGTTAAGCAGATTGGGAGCTGCAGAAATGTCATGATAAGCAAGGGAAGACAGCAAGAACTTGAAATGCAGTTATGAGTGAACTGGGAGCGTTTTTTTTGTTACTCCTTGGAGTGTCACAGAAGAAAGTAGGTTTGGGAGGAGGAAGGAGGAAGTAGATTTAGTGGACAGCAATATGAACTGTATTGGAAGTATCGAAAGTAAGTGGATCAGACCTTGCCTTACCTGTGATTGGCATAAGGGAATCATGAGGCCATGGGAGATGGCAAGATCAAGGTCAAGGGGGTGAGCGCAAGCATGACCATGATAGGGGAAATATATTCAAGAGGATACAGGGGCAGTGAACTGAGAGGACAGAGGGAGAAAGATAATGATGAGTCGAGATGGAAGTTTAAATCACAGAGGATGAGAAGTTTCTCAATGCAGAGGCTGAGAAGAAAAACAGCGAAGATATCCAAGTGTGAAAATTCTTATGGTACTTAGGTGGGCAGCAGAGAGTGAGGTTTTTAAATGAGAGGTTAGAGAGGCAGAACAAGGCAAGATCTTCAATGGAAGAGGAAATACTAGAGGAATATGGTTACAGACCAAAGTGGGACTTGGTGATGAACAGCCACACCACTATGATAGATGGGCCAGAGTAAGTAGTGGGAGGCTTTACGAGGGGGAAAAAGGTGTCATCATGCCTCAGCCAAATTTTTGTCAAGGCCATAATATCGTTCCAAACACCTTCAACAAGCCCATGGATGGCAAAGGCCTTGTATGCAAATGACCAAAATTTTGGAGGGAGACACAAAGAGAAACAGTGCTAGATGATAGCCAAAAGATCACTACTTGGAGGCGTCAGATAAACAATGAGGAGATTGACAAGATCAGTCTCTAGTAGGCATTCGGGTGGGAAGGTAAACAAGATTAGGATGGAACGGTTCATATTGCAGTTTGTAAGGCAGGAACAAGTGACTTGTTGAGCCCTTTGGTGGACACCAAGGCTTGTCACATTTAATAGCTCCTTACAAATCCAGAGCATTCAAGTCAATGACTTTAAATGGATGCCATTACGTAACCCAGATAGCTATATCCGTTTAAAACGGTTTTGAAATTATTAAATTCTTCTGTCAAATTTTATCAGCACATAAGTTAGAGAGCTCAAAAAAAAACAAATCATTTTAATTTGTTTGGCAGAGAAAATTTATGTAGGCGGCAAACCCTATAAAGAGAGATCACCATTGACAATATCAAGAATTATAGTATCTAGTCAAGCTTCACATAACCATAAAAATATTTGTCATTTTCACAAGATCTCCACATTAATGGGAGGTATTCAAAACACTCAAGGGCCACAAAGGAAACCTGGATACTTGGAATCCTATTCATCTAATACTTTTAAAAGCAAGTGTAATCATTCCCCCTCAGTCACAACATACTGATGATCTTTAGCATCTCATTAAAGGAAAAATAATAAAATTCATACTTTCTTGGAACTAGCCTGCATCCAAATGCTCTGTTGTTCTTTGTTTGAAACTTATTTCCCGTTTGAGTGTTGAACTTTATCTCATTAGCCTGGCTTTTTGCATGAGTACATGTTAATGAAAAGAATTTTTTTTTCTATTCATTTATGGGACATGAGCATCGTTGGCTGAGCCAGCATTTATTTCCTGTCCCTAGTTGCCCTTGAGAAGGTGGTGGTGAGCTGCCTTCTTGAACCGCTGCAGTCCACCTGCTGTAGGTTGACCCACAATACCATTAGGGAGGGAATTCCAGAATTTTGACCCAGTGACAGTGAAGGAACGGCGATATATTCCCAAGTCAGGATGATGGTGGCTTGAAAGAGAACGTGAAGGTGGTGGTATTCTCATATGTCTGCTGCCTTTGTCCTTCTAGATGGAAGTGGTCGTGGGTTTGGAAGGTGCTGTCTGAAGATCTTTGGTGAATTTCTGCTGTACATCTTGTACACACTGCTGCTACTGTGCATCGGTGGTGGAGGGAGTGGACGCAGTGCCAATCAAGAGGGCTGCTTTGGCCTGGATGGTGTCAAGCTTCTTGAGTGTTGTTGAGGCTGCACTCATCCAGGCAAGTGGGGAGTATTCCATCACACTCCTTACTTGTGCTTTGTAGATAGCGGGCAGGCTTTGAGGAATTAGGAAAGGAGATGCTTCCTGCAGTATTCCTAGCTTCTGGCCTGCTCTTGTAGCCACCGTGTTTATGTGTTGAGTCTAGTTGAGTTTCTAGTCAGTGATAACCCCAACAGGTTGATAGCAGGGGATTCAATGATGGTAACACCATTGAATGTCAAGGGACAGTGGTTAGATTGTCTCTTACTTGTAATGGTCATAGCCTGATATTTGTGTGGCATGAATGTTACTTGCCACTTGTCAGCCCAAGCCTGGATATTGTCCAAATCTCGTTGCATTTGAACATGGACTGCTTCAGTATCTGAGGAGTCGTGAATGGAGCTGGACATTGTGCAATCATCGGCGAACATCCCCACTTCTGACTTTATGATGGAGGGAAGGTCATTGATGAAGCAGCTGAAGATGGTTGAGCCGAGGACACTATCCTGAGAAACTCCTACAGTGATGTCCTGGAGCTGAGATGACTGACCTCCAACAACCACGACCATCTTCCCAAGTGTCAGGTATGACTCCAACCACTGGAGATGTTGCCCCCGATACCCAGTGATTCCTGTTTTGCTAGGGCTCCTTGACGCCACACTTGGTCAAAAGCAGCCTTGACATCAAGGGCTGTCACTCTCACCTCACCTCTGGAATTCAGCTCTCTTGTCCATGTTTGAACCAAGGCTGTAATGAGGTCAGGAGCTGAGTGGCCCTGGCAGAACTCAAACTGGGCATCACTGAGCAGGTTATTGCTGAGCAGGTGTTGCTTGATAGCTCTGTTGATGACACCTTCCATCACTTTACTGATGATTGAGAGTAGACTGATGGGGCGGTAATTGGCCGGATTGGATTTACCCTGCTTTTTATGTACAGGACATACTTGGGCAATTTTCCACATTGTTGGGTAGGTACCAGTGTTGTAACTGTACTGGACCCAGTTAATTATGATCAAATTATATTTGCACCTCAAGACTATTTTCCCAGCCTATGACTGGAAAGTACAGTGATGAAATTCAGAGACCAACTCACTACTTAGTTAAGAGGATAATTCAAAAAAAGTAGTTTCTTCTCCTCAAATGGCTCAGCACCTGCCATCAACACAAGTGAGTGAGTTTGATGCAGGAGGCATGTTGCTGCTGCCAGCCAATCAAGTGGCCGCCAACTAAGGTCCAATCAGACAGCAGGCAGTGAAACAGCGCCATCACTAGCAGTGGCCATAGCTAAGATTGCAAAGAGAGAGAGGGAGGAGAGAGAGGGAGGACAGCCTCAATTACGTGGATGAGTGTAAAATGGGGTTAGAAAATGCCAGAGCCTAGCAGGCAAGACCTGGCAAATTTAGTATTTGTCAAATGCCAAGAGTGTCATTACCATAGGGACAACCAATGTTCTTGGGGTGGCTCTCAGGGAGCCAAAACAAACACCGTTCCAAGATAACAAGATGTAGAGCTGTATGAACACAGCAGGCCAAGCAGCATCAGAGGAGCAGGAAAGCTGACGTTTCGGGCCTAGAGACCGTTCCAACCCTTGAGCCCACTGGACATGGGATAGGAAGTTAGTGACTTGAGTGACTTCATTGTTGTCCTTGCCAATCTGCTATCTTTCTTGTCATAACAAAAATGGGAAAACAGTGGGAAACAGTCAGACAAGCCCCATCACGTTCAACCCCTTCCCATGCCAATTTACCAGCTTTCCTACCTCACAGCTCACTGGCAAAGGACTTGCAAAATTCCAGTCTAGGCACCCAACAGTATATAATACATAACAAAAACAGAAAATTCTGAAATTACTCCGCAGGTCTGGTAGCAACTGCAGGAAACGAAGGAGTTAACTTTTTAGGTCTATGGTCTTCCATTTTGCATTTGTAATCAAAAAATCTTAATTTTCTTAAAATTACAATTAATTTGAAGGTGAATACATTTAGTAACGCGCTGATCACTAACCTCATCAGACAGATTGTCTATTCTGTACAAGTTAGGATGAATTGTAAGCATCAGATGAACTAATGGCTGTGTCTTCATCTCACACATGGCAAAGACCCTTTCATCCAATCGAGTGCTAGTGCCTGTTCTGAATGCTTGCTGTAAAGCAAGGGTTCAATAACAAATTAGTTGTGCCGTACAAGTTAATAATTACAGCATATTCAATAAACTTGTAAAAAAGAAGTATGCAAACAGTTCACAGCATCCTTACTGTTAACCAGTACTCAGATGGTATATTGAATCTAGCACACTGCAAGGAGCTTGGAATCTACAGCTGTTGCTTTTAGCATCCTTAAATTGGGTAGTAGCACTACATGTTAGATCTTACACTTTATCATAGGGTCTCCTTAACAGAATGCTGGAGGTCATGATGTAACAGTCTTCTAAAGGAACAGTTTGAGCCACTAGCAATGATAAATGTTTGAGAGCAGATCATACAATATTTAAAGTCATTGTTAATAGTTTGAAGGGCTGCAACTGTTCTGAACCATGCATTTTTAAACTTAATATTAGGTATTTATCACCCATCCCTAATTACTCACAGGGTAGTTAAGAGTCACATGTAGGCCAGACCACGTAAAGGAGGTCTGATTTCCTTCCCCAAGACATTAGTGAACTAGAGAGTTTTCCTGATAATTCCTAACAGTTTCATGGTAATCACTAGACTCTTAATTCCAGATTAAAAAAAGAATCCAAGTCAAATTCTACCATCTGCTATTGCGGGATTTGAACCTGGGTCTCTGGATTAACAGTCTAGTGCTAATATTATTAGGCCATTGCCTCCCCCAACATCCTCCTGTTGGATGGAAAAATTGCATTGTCATTCAGACACATTCGGAATATGTCCCTGCTTACAAATACATCAGTCAGTGGAAATATTTCAGTCACTTTTTTTTTTAAAACAAGTACCTGTTTCAGTAGAGCCAGAATATAAAGAGCAAACAGCCTGAGGGAGTTGGGAGCGACTAACACGGATCGCTGGAGGTTAGAAACGGTGGAACGATATGCAGATAAGGAATCAACTACAGCATTTACCAAGGCATCTCTGGCATCAGATAAACTCGAGGAAACTGATCGATCAACCGCTAAGGAAAAAACAATAGATTACAGATTAAGACCTAAAAAATTATTGAAGCCATATAGCTGTCAAAGGACCAAACGATTAAAGTGGAATGAAATCAATGATGTCACAGTAAAAAGTACGAGAAAAAAATCTCAGCACTGTCAAATAATTCATCACCTTACATATTAGCAAGAGCTTTTCTAAAAAAAAAAGTGGTGAAAATATTTCACAGAGAATTTACCTCCCAATTCTTTCAACTTTTGAAAGAAGGCTATTAAATTTACACTATTTCTAATGGTAAAAATCTACACTTGTTGCAGATTATTTGTTGCTGACAGCCTAACCTACGTCTTTGTTAATTCAAGCCTTAATCATCTCAAATTTCTCCTGAGCAGCATCCTTAAACTTGAATTCATGCAAAATTCTGCCATCTGATATCCTAATGCACACCAAGTTCTGTTTGACAAATGCCTAAGTGCTTAGTGATTTGTATTGATTCCTAGCTTTGATTTTAAAATTCTCATCCTTGTTTTCAAATCCCTCTAACACACCTCTGTGATATTTTCCAGCCCCACATCTCTCCTACATGTCCGCATTCCCCTACTTCTGACCTTTTAAGTGCCCTTAATTTTCTTCACTCCTCCATTGGTGGCTATGCCTCAGATAGCTAAAGACTCAGCCTTGAACTAAGCTTGCTAAACCTCTCTGTCTCTCTATGCCTTTAAGATGTACCTTAAAACCTACCCCTTTTGGTCACCGGTCCTAATAGCCATCCTAATGTGGTCTAGTGTCAAACTGTGCTGTTGATTTATCAACATAACGTCAACATGTTGGACGTACAGGCTTTCCACAGGATATACTCAGGTTCAAAATCTACATTCAGCTCTCAGTATCAAGGCAAAATACCACCAATCTGAATTCAACATTCGACATTGTTATGAAGTGTTAATCTCTGGTAGCAATGTCCTGTGGCCTTTGAAACTGGTTTCTATAAACACCTTCCAGAGAGTCGCAAGTGATAATTTACCAATTAACAGCATCTGACAACTAGAATTCCAAACCAAGCAGATAGCAAGGGTCTTTAAAATCAAGATACTGTTTGCAGATGTAGGTCAGTCAGTACAGGGATGGTAAGGGAACTGGAGTTGGATAGAGTTAAGGTACAGGCACAGTTTTGGATGACCTCAATTTTACAGAAGACGGAATGTGGAAGATCAGTCCAGAACGTGTTGAAATAGTCAAGCCCAGAGATAACGAAGGAATAAATGAAGATTTCAGTATCAAATGAGTTGAGACAAGGCAAAGTAAGGCCACATTACATACGTGGAAATAAGCAAACTTGGTATTCCACCTCGAAGAAGCTCTAATCCAGTGAATATGGGGAACCTCTATAACACTTGCTGCGTCAACAGACACGAATTTCAAGCAGTATGCCTGGCTCTATTGTAAAGGATAAGTGCACAGCCCATTTTTGATAGCTGTGCTAAGTTATCATTATAGCACATTACATGAACAAAATTAGTGGCATAGTTGACAGTGAACATTATCTAAGATTGCAAAGGGATTTTGATCAATTGGGCTGAGGAGTGGCATTGGAGTTAAATTTGGTTAAATGCGAGGTATTGCATTTTGGTAAAACAAACAAGGGTGGCGGGGGGGGGGGGTGGGGCGGGTGGAGTGGAGTGTAGTTATATAGTTAATGTTTGGGCCCTGGGTAGTACAGTCGAACAGAGACACCTAGGGGTTCAGACAGATAGTCCTTTGCAAGTTGCATCACAGGCAGACAGGGTGTTTAAGAAGGTGTTTAGTACACTTGCCCTCATTGCTCAGACCATTGAGTATAGGAGCTGTGATGTCACGTTGAAGTTGTACAGGATGTCAGAGAGGCCACTTTTGGAGTATTACGTACAATCTGGTTGCCCTGCTATAGGAAAGATACCATTAAGTTGGAGAGGGTTCAGAAAATATTTACTGGGATGTTGCCAGTACTGGAGGATTTGAGTTTTAAGAATGGGTTGGATAGGCTGGGACTTTTTTCACTGGAGCGTACGAGGTTGAGGGGCTACCTTATAGAGACTTATAAAACCATGAGGGGTGTAGATAAAGTGAACAGCAAATGTCTTTTCCCTAGGATGGGGGTGTTCAAAACTAGGGGGCCATATTTTTTAAAGTGAGAGGAGAAAGATTTAAAAGGGAACTGAGGCGCAACTTTTTCAGAGGGTGATTTGTATGTACAATGAACTGCAAAATATAACAAAAGATAATAAAGCAAAAGGTAGATGTTGTTAACAGAAAGGGAGTCCAGTTATGCGTACAGCTTCTCTATTTGCAGGCAATCACCTCTGTGACAAATGAGGTTATGAGGAATCAGACCTTGTGGGGAAAGTTTAAGGTTCTGTTGGGACAAGGTAGTAGCCCTACATTCAAGAATTTTGTATATAAATCAAGTGAACAAGCACTTTGGCACTAATTGTGGTCATGTTAACCAAAAGGTAGAGATCATCGGAACCTCAACCATCAATGCATGCTGTTATAGGATCTTTCTGCCGGACAGTGGATAAATGTGGACAATGCCAGACTTCCAGACCTGTCAATGGTCTTATTCTTGGAGAGAGTCCATACAAAATTGTGGTGCAGCATGCCCTCCGCTCACAGTTAACAAATTCAAAATGATGAGCTAAGATTATTGATAAAGAGGACACACCTCAAGGGCCAATAGTGTTCCAGAGCAGCTGCAACTAAGTTCACATTTTTCAAGGAGGAACCTGGATTCTTGTGTTTTGGTCTCTTCATTCATTGCTTGGACTTTTCCCATTTACGTTAGAATAGCCACTTACCCATAGTAGCTAAAAGACAAGTAATAGCCTGCACATCTGCTCCCGCATAAACGTCAGCCACAGAGTTCACAACAGGTAGACACAAAGTATGCACTCGAATCCGACGCTCGCCTACAAAAATAAACAAATATTAAAGTCACTTGTTTTGAAAATTATTTTTGCACAATGAAGTCTTTGAATATATATGCACTTATTTTGTAAGGAATAGAAGTCGGAAGCCTTATTTGTATTCACATATCTCGGATGAAATACGAAAAGTAAAAGGAGTATCTTGCTGACCTTGCCTCTGGTGGTACAGACCCTGAGAAAACAGGCCATCTTATTCAGTGGGTCTTTTTGAGTAGCCAAGCCAGCAGTAGCTTACTTCTAACAATAACATAGAACATAGGTAAAACTTTGTACAATATTTTAGACTTATGCAGTACTGCTTTTCAAGCATGTGTTTTGGCAGATTTTGACAATTCTTGATGGCACTTTTCCAAAGTTATTTTGTAATTTCCACTCTTCTACTTTCTGACAGGATTATGTTATGGAATGAAGATCATTATGGCCTGTAGTCAGTAATGGCCATAATAAGAGGCAATGTCGATTGATCTGGTTATTGCCAGCATTAATATTGTATTAAAGATTTATGAATATCAATATGGTCATACAGTTGCACTATGAAAGATAGCATGGGGTGGAAGGGCCCCACTGTACACACAAAATAAAAAAAAAGGTGATTAGTGTCACTCTCTGAAAGGATGAAGCAACAATTCAAGAGGAAGTTTAGCTTTGTTTAGCAAAGCCTGAGTCTGAGGGATATTCAGAGTGTACTGGAATAAGTGTCAGCTTCAGTTAATAATGGTTAAGTTTGATCTGCCTCAACTGCAACATAATTGGGAACATTGTTGTTGGTTCACCATGTCTCAATTGACGAATATAACATACAGAACATTGAACCTAACTTACAGCATACAAGGACTTCAAAATTGAGCTTGCATGCTTGTAAAATTGCCCTTAATAGAATTTCCTTCAAGGGTTAATAGTAACACCATATGTGAAACCAGTTTTAAAGAAAGTGATGCACTGCACCTTCAATAATCATTTGTTCTCTAGACTTATTGATTTGTTAAAACCTGACTCCCAATATTTGAGAGTGTTCATCTTTAAAATAACTTGGCTCAGAGTACTCACTTTTCAGATTCACAAAAGCTACACGGCATTTGAAAACAATTTTGGTGTTTAGCTGACTGTGCAGTTTTTGGATCACTCAAGATTTACAAAAAACTTGAAATGCATGTTTACTTTTTTGTAACAAATACTGTACAGTACTTCAGACCCAATTAACACAACTTTTCTCAACTGAGAAGGTAAGATACATTTTTATACAAGCAAATACCTAAAAGTGTCTATAATTTTAGTTAATCGTAACACACTTACCACTAGATTTTGTACATTTTATTAATAACAAAAACCTTTAGAATGAAATAGCTAAATGTGGAAATAAAGAATCTGGTCTTCTTCAGCTACATTAAGAAATGTGAACATACTACAAAAAAAAAAGAAAAATGTATGTAAGACATTCCCCTACCTTTACTTGAAGTGTAAAGCAATGCAGCCTGAAAACATACGATTGATGTATCGACCAGATTTTCATCAATAGACATTTGCACAGTGAATCCGGAATCAGGATTTATGTTGGCAAGGGACAACAGATCAGTGGAACGTACAAAGAAGTTTCCATGGAAAGTATGAATGGAAAGACCTGTAGATAAGAATCATTACCACGTAGGCACTTTAATGCTTTCACTTATATTTGACATATAACAAAACAAATAATTGCAATTATTCTTGAACTTCAATTTTTTCCAACTAATCAAAATGATTGTACTATCGACCCTGCAATAGTCAGCGGGAAATTGAGAAACAAATTTGTAAGGAGATCTCAGTTATCTGTGAGAATAATAAGGTGGTTATGATAGGGGATTTTAACTTTCCAAACATAGACTGAGACTGCTGTAGTGTTAAAGGCTCGGATGGAGAGGAATTTGTTAAGTGCATACAAGAAAATTTTCTGGTCAGTATGTGGATGGACCTACTAGAGATGGTGTAAAACTTGACCTACTCTTGTCAAAAAGGCAGGGCAGGTGACTGAGGTGTCAGTGGGGGAGCACTTGGGGCCAGTGACCATCATTCTATTAGTTTTAAAATAGTGATGGAAAAGGATAGACGGGATTTAAAAGTTAAAGTTCCAAATTGGAGGAAGGGCAATTTTGACAGTTTTTGGCAAGGGCTTTCAAAAGTTGATTGGGGGCGGATGTTTGTGGATAAAGGGACGGCTGGAAAATGGGAATCCTTCAAAAATGAGATAGTGAGTGTCCAGGTACATAAGCTCCTGTCAGGGTGAAGGGCGAGGCTGGCAGATGTAGGGAATGCTGGGTGACTAGAGAAATTGAGGTTTTGGTCAAGAGAAAGAAGGAAGCATATGTTGGGTATAGACAGCAGGGCTTGAGTGAGTCCCTCAAAGAGTATAAAGGCAGTAGGAGTATACTGAAGAGGGAAATCAGGAGGGCAAAAAGGAGACGTGAGAAAGCTTTGGCAACTAGGGTTAAGGAGAATCCAAAGGGGTTTTATAAATATGTTTAGGACAAAAGGGTAATTAGGGAGAGAATAGGGCCCCTTAAGGATCAGCAAGGCTGTGTATGCGTGGAACTGCAGGAGATGGAGGGAAATACTAAATGAGTATTTTGCATCAGCATTTACCACGGGGAAGAAAATAGAAGATACAGAATGTGGGGAAATAAATAGCAATATCTTGAAAAATGTCCATATTACAGAAGAGGTAGTGCTGGATGTCTTAAAGTTCAAAGGTGGATTAATCCCCAGGACCTGATCAGGCATACCCTAGAACTCTGTGGAAAGCTAGGGAAGTGATTGCTGGGCCCCTTGCTGAGATATTTTTATCATGGATAGACACAGGTGAAGTGCCAGAAGACTGGAGGTTGGCTAACATGGTGCCACCATTTAAAAAAAGTGCTGAGGAAAAGCCAGGGAACTATACACCGGTGAGCCTGACATCAGTAGTGGGCAAGTTATTGCGAGGGAATCCTGAGAGACAGGATTTACATGTATTTGGAAAGGAAAGGACTGATTAGAGATAGTCAACATGGCTTTGTACGTGGAAAATCATGCCTCACTAACTTGATTGAGTTTTTTGAAATAACGAAGAGGATTGAGGAGGGCTGAGCGTTGGACGTGATCTATATGGACTTCAGTAAGGCGTTCGACAAGGTTCTCATGGTAGACTGGTTAGCAAGGTTAGATCACATGGAATACAGGGAGAACTAGCTATTTAGATTTACAACTCCCCTGAAGGTAGAAGACAGAGGGTGGTGATAGAGCTGCTTTTCAGACAGGAGGCCTATGACCAGTGGTGCGCCATAAGGATCAGTGCTGGGTCCACTGTTTTTTGTCATTTATTTAAACGATTTGGATGTGAGCATAGGATGTATAGCTACTAAGTTTGCAGATGACACCAAAATTGGAGGTGTAGTGGACAGCGAAGGAAGTTACCTCAGAATACAACGGATCTTGATCAGATAGGCCAATGGGCTGAGAAGTGGCAGTTGCAGTTTAATTTAGATAAATGTGAGATGCTGCTTTTTGGAAAGGATAATCAGGTCAGGACTCATGCACTTAATGGCAAGGTCCTGGAGAATGTTGCTGAACCGGGAGACCTCGGACTTCAGGTTCATAGTTCCTTGAAAGTGGAGTTGCAGGTAGACAGGATAGTGAAGATAGCGTTTGGAACGCTTGCCTTTATTGGTCAGTGCATCGAGTATAGGAGTTGGGAGGTCATGTTGTGGCTGGACAGGACATTGGTTAGGCCATTTTGGAATATTGTGTGCAATTCTGGTCTCCTTGCTATAGGAAGGATGTTGCGAAACTTGAAAGGATTCAGAAAAGATTTACAAGCACGTTGCCAGGGTTAGAGGGTTTGAGCTATAGGGAGGGGTTGAATAGACTGGGGGTATTTTCTCTGGACCATCGGAGGCTTAGGGGTGACCTTATAGAGGTTTATAAAATCATGAGGTACATGGATAGGGTAAATAGACAAGGTCTTTTCCCTGGGGTACGGGAGTCCAAAACGAGGGGACGAAGGTTTAAGGTGAGAGGGGAAGATTTAAAAGGGACTGAAGGGGCAACTTTTTCATGCAGAGGGTGGTGTGTTTATGGAATGAGCTGCCAGAGAAGGGGTGGAGACTGGTACGATTACAGCATTTAAAGGCATCTGGATGGGTATATGAATAGGAAGGGTTGAGGGGGATTTGGGCCAAATGCTGGCAAATAGGACTGGGGTCTGTTTCATGCTGTACATTTCTATGACTCTAATCGCAGAATTTGCCATGTGTGAGAACTTATATTAATTATACAAGCACAGTACAACTATAAGTACTGAAACATCTTAGGGTTGATTAGACTATTAACTTTTTATCATATGCTTGACTGAATATGTAGACAGATAAATATATTCATTTGGGGACATGAATAACTACATGAATATTGACTGACTTCATGTTTTACTCAGTAGACACGTTTGAAAAACGATTCATTTCTTATTTTTCACATTTTCTTCAACTCTTTAGACCAATACCAAGAAGGAAAGTGAAATTGTTGATACCACCAAGCGAAGAAAATATTTCAATTGCAAAGCACCTATTACATGAATTGGAAAAGTCTTCAAGCACAAATACTTTAAAAGGCAGTATTGTCATGTAGAAAAGAGCAATGGTCACTTTAACCATGGGCAGCCACAAAATGAATGATCAGTGGATGGTACTTTTGGTGGTGTGGGTTGAAGACTGGAAGAATTGGCTAGAAGATTGGAAAAATTCCATGGATTTTGTAAAATAACAAAATGGAATTTCTAAAGTGTACAAGAATTATTAAGACATGTGCAGACCTCATTTAATATTTTACCTGATTACTGATTTTCTGACAATGCAAAATATCTTCACTGCTATCATATCAGCAATGCTCAAATAGGCTTGAATTGGCTACCTTCTGGCTCAAAACTGTACAGCTACCAAATGAGCTAAGCTACACACAATACAAATCATTAGGAATCTACATAGCTATCAGAATTCATTTATATTTCAGCCCAAAATGTATTCCAGTCATGTGTGAATAAATTTCAGATTAGGATACACTGCCTTTTATGATAATGCTCATTCTCCTCTGGAAAGTGATCAAGAGACCGGATAGTCTTGTATTCTTCTACTACCCCCATTTCCTGTGGCTCAGAACCTCACTTCCAGCCGGGGAATCTTCTAGTGGACCCCTCATTCCATTGAGTTCTGATGCCAAGGGGCTACCTCAATCGCAGCACTCTTCATTGTGTCGAAGCTTACGGATCCACTCAAAAGATTTGAGCTCAGAAATCTAGGGTGAGATTTCAGTTCAGCACTGAAGTGCTACACAGCCAAAATCGCTGCCTTTTGATTGAAATGTTAAATTGAGGAGCCATTTATTCTCACACTTCGCTGTCTTGCTTTCTTTTAAAATTTTCCTCTATTTTCCATATCGAACTTGATTCTCTACTGAATTATGGACTGTTTAGCTGGTTACAGAGTAATGCTGACTAACTGTACAGCATAGATTTAATCCCTGTACCGGATGAGGTGGTTTACTGAGGCCTGCATTCTCACCTTGCCCCACACTTGATTTGAAGTGGTGCCCCTCAAGCTATGTAATAATTTGTCTCTCTCTAATACAAGACGTGCCTCCTGGGCTTTTGTAGATTATGGCTATAACTATTACCATCTGTTTTCTGATTACATGGCACTATCTTGAAGGAGGAGAGTTTGTCCTGGCCAATATCTGTCCCACAATCAACGACAGATATAGATTATATGTTTATTCTTGTATTGCTTTTTTTATAAAAAAGCTCATTGCATATGAAGTAGTTAAGAGTTTCGTAATAATAACTATACAATCAAAATATTTTTAATTTAATTACATTGGGACATTGTGATCATGGAAGGCATTATGGAAATGCAAGTCTTTTGTTTTTTAAAGTGCAAAGCAAAATATGCTTGTACAGCACTGTTTAACAAGTAGATATACAGACTATAAAACTTCCAAAAGATGCATACACAAAAGAGTGAAATATTACCTTTGGTACAACGTATCCTCATAACCGCCTCAAATCCAATTTTTCTGATGAGATACCGTTTGAGGTCTTTCTGAAACTTCTCCACCTGAGCAGGATTGTGAATGTGATGGAATGATGGATAATAGAAGACCGATCCAGCAGAGTATTTTGACATGCAAGCTGTGAAAACATCACATTTATCATAAAGTAAGTTTAAATTTTGCTAATAGTCACTTGTTACAAAATGTGCGAAGTCTTTTGCAAGTACAATCATTTGGTGAGAAATCAATTATCGTAAGTGTTCTGAAGTAATGGACATTAGGGTGTGCATGTGATAACAACACAAATATTTCTGAGAGACATAGTAAAATAATAACAACTCATTAAACGAGTCAGAAATTAAGTCATGCAATTTCTTCAGTTGTATAAACATTTCTTTGCAATTCTTGTTTTAACTTTAGTTAATTATTTCGAGTCTTCATTATGATCTTTATTTCTCCTCCATAATTCTTCTATATTTCAACTTAAGTTCTTGTTTCCTTGCCTTTATATTTTCTTGTGCGTTTATCTTTGCTCTTTTTAATTCAGGATTTTGTTATGGATTTTTTATTCTTTCATGGGACATGGACATTGCTGACGTATGTTGTCCATCCCTAACTGCCTTTAAACGGAGTAATTAAGTAGGCCATCGCAGAGGGCAGCTCAGAGTCAGCCACATTGTTGTGGGTCTGGAATCATGTGTAGGCCAGGCTGGGGAAGGATGGTTTACATAAAAGGACCTCAGCAAACTAGGCAGGTTCTTACAACAATTGATGACAGTTGTCATGGTCACTGTTACAGGCACTATGTTTATTAATTTAATAATTATTTTATTAAGTCCTGCTTAATTTTCAGGTGCCAGAGCATTAGCCTGGGGTCCCCAGATTATGACAGTACCGCTACACTACTGTCTCCACATGATGAATGATAGAGAGAGGATTTACCTTTTCAGCAAATAGTGATGTTTATGCGTCATTACATATAGGATATAAAAGATCTGTACATTAGCAGTGTTATTAGGTCATCATAAAATACATAATCCTTCCATAAACCACATGTAACACAGTGCACCTTAAAGTTGAGGGCTGCTACAAGAAAAGAAAGTCATTTTAAACACCAGAGCTTATGAAGAGTTTTATTAAGGTCAGCAAGGAAAGATTGATAAGATGAATAAATCTAGATCACCACAAAAGAAAAACAGGAGGAACAGTACAAGACATTTTCATTCATTTCAAGAAATTATTTATTGATTTCTTGAAATAAGATATTACACTTCAAACAGTAAAGGATTTCCTTACTGCATGCAAATCTACCGCGAGTAAGCAAACAAGACCTGTAGAAAATACTAAGGCTCCTCAAATCTAAAATCTCTTGCAACCAAATTCTTCTACAATTTTCTATCAAATTAGTTTGTTCAGGTGCAGTTTCTGATACACAATGCACTCAAGGCAAAGGACATAACAAATAGCAAGTTATCAGGATAAAGAATAAATAAGATTTATAGTGCTTTATTTGATAGTCATTTTATGTTAAAACTCCAATCTGTAACTTAACTTGGTCCTGTGTCTTTTCATGTTTGTATATTAATTTATAATATCAATTTATTTTTAAATTATAAAAAAAATTATAATTTTTACTTACAAAAATGAAAACAGCAATTCATGATTTGAAATACATTTTAGAAATATATTGGATTACATAAACGCCATACAACCTGCATTGAATCAATTAACATTCTGTGCAGGACTTAACATTTGGGTTTCACCAGCTCCCCAAAGTGACATTACGTTTATAATATGTCTGTTCAAACAGTAAGAATGCTTAACATAATGTAGTTCCCTCATTGACTGGCAGGCTTAGTCAAAGAGTTAACGTTTCTGATTGAGAGACCCTTCCTCTGAACTCTGAAATGTTAATTCTGATTTCTCTCCACAGATGCTGCCAGACCTGCTGAGCTCTACCAACAATTTCGGTTTTTGTTTCTGATTTACAGCATCCGCAGTTCTTTCGGTTTGTTTTCTATGACTATAGTTTTAAATTGTAACAAATTTACTGACTTCTGCTGAATTCAGTTTTAGCATGCAATCTCAAGGGTTCATCAAAAAATTAACTTCTCAAATTGTTTTTCACATCAACTTGCACTTTAAACAGCTGTACATAACTACTATATGATAACTTCAATTGTAATATACAGTACAGTCCAATCACTTGTTTCAGGGCCGGAGATCATATAGCTAATTTAAAAAAAAACTATTAAACCTCTTAAGTTCAAAAGAACAGTATTTCTTTATTCACTTGTCAGGAATATTATAGAAGTAACAAAGGAAATGGAAAATGCTTTCTTACCAAGCGACGCCAGGTCAGTATACTGTCCACTCAGTAGAAATAGATCCACTGCCACCTGCTGGCCTGAGCAGTCCAAAGCAAACTTCTTATAAAAGTCTGTGGCTGGAGCAAGGTGTTGCACACCCTTAATTGAAATTAAACAGTTAGAATTTCAGAGATTTAGGATTTTCTCATTAAACTGAAAATTGGAAAACAATATTTGAAAATAATATTACCTGCCTGGATATGTTATTTTCTAACTTATCCTTCTGAATATTGATCATTAAAATGGGAAAAACAGGATTGGTTTGTTAAAAGCTCTTGTTTCATACGGCTTCCACCTCCTCTATCACACAGATCACATCACTGCTTGATCACAAACTCTCTTTGTGAAGATTCAACTCTTCCTTGTTTATTGATTTTTGAGAACGGTCCCAAAGTTTGAAGTGGATTGCCTGAACCACAGCAGGGCCAGCCACAATTCCTGAAGTTGGAGTTCAAACTCTATCCGTTATAATTAGGCAGCTGCAGTGACACATCAGTCAAAAAATAACTACTTATGAGGAAATGTATTTGGTCCACCTTAGTTTATACAGCCAGATAAATCGCACACGTTTCCCTCTGGCTGTTCCCCATTAAAGTCCTGCGCCTACGCTCCTGAATTACAGCGTGCAATTGTTCTCTGCATAATTCTGAGGGTTTCAGCTCTACTATTCCATGTGTTTATCCCTATGTAAAGATTGTGGGTAAACCAGGTCCCTTGTCCTGCTCTCACAGTTTAGTCAGAAACTTTCCACTTTTAATTTTCAGTTCCATTTACTCGTGCAGCATACCTAAAATTAGACCTGGGTTAAAAATGCTTATATCATGAGAAGAATAGAAAAAAATGCTTGTTGTGGTGGAATATTGATCATTTTGAACACCACCATCAGAGCTCATGAGGAGTTTTATTAAGATCAGCAAGGAAAGATTGATAAGTTGAATAAATTTAGATCACCACAAGAAAAATATGAGGAGGAACAGTGTGAGACTTGTTCATTAAGCAGAAAGTTGTCAGGACTTGGATTCAGTCAAGATAAAGATGAAGTGACTCAACAGTTTAGGGACAAAAGGGAAGAAAAATGGGAGTGGATTCTTCTCAGAGCATCAGCAGCAGAGGGTTTCTTTGCTGAAATAGCATCCCCTGGAGGCAGTAACAATGTAAGCCAGAACGAGGCACCAGCAGCTTCGACATGGTGGACCCAGCGTTGAATTTAGGTCCAGTTTGGGACTCGCCGAGATCAGCCCAGCACAGACTCAAGGCGGCAGCAACAATGTCGGTGGAGGCAACATGGTACTGAAGAATGGAGACACAGTTCCAGCAGTGGCTGGTCCCGGGTACCTGATGGCAAAGGTGGTAGTGTTCTGACTGAGGTGGCGTGTGGGGTCTCTCAGCACCTGAATGTTTGCAGATTAGGGGAAGGACTTTGTGGCTTTGTTTTTCTGGCAGTGAGGACTCATGGCAGAGGCAGCGGAGTGATTTGGACATTTCCTTTCCTCTTGGCTATTTCTTTTATTTCTGCTTCTGTTTTTAATCATCTCTTTTGTATTCTAAGATGGTATCGGAGATTGGCAACTTTTACACTTTTCACCATACTCGAGTACATTTGACATAAAAGGCTAATTCTAAATATTGGCCGATACACATGAAATATTCTTGCCTGCTGTCATTAGTCTATAAAATGCACTGAGGAAAAATTAAAGTCACATAAGGTTTAATGTATAAAAGTCACATTCATCAAAATATACTTGCCATGTTCATGCACATAAAATGAGACTTGGAATTCTTTTACCAACAGAGAAAGCAGGGCAGGTAAAGCAAATTCTCTAGCAGTTGACAATATATTACTGTGATAACTCTAGTCAGTGCAGCAAACTCCTTCACCAAACAGATGGGAAGTACAGGTAAAATCAGTGACAGCCAAGATTGGTGTTCCTGTGGAAGTAAAGCACGGCCATCGCAAAAATGCTGGCTTGAATCAGAAAGCGAAAAGTTCTTTATTTCCAGGTTACCAGCAGCAATGCTTGGGTGACTGACTGATCATTTCACAAGATAACTGGGCAATCAAGACGTTCTTTGTTTCAATCAGAAATAACGGAACAAATTAAATACCTATGGGCCATTAACACTGAGCATGCACACCCTTACCTATAGCATATAGACTACAAGTTTGCATGTGCCTGCACACTGATGTTTAATACAGAAAATATTTCCACAATATGTAATCATTCATAGAGCAGAGTATCACCCCATTTAATAAACAGACTGACATTTCAGACTGGAGCAATAATTCCTGAGGAATAATTCCAACTGGAATTGGCAACCTCACTTCCAAAGGATAACTGTTTCTATTTCCTATCTAACTACATGTCTATTCTGTTTTGATTGCTCTAAGACATCAAAGAATCCAGAGGTTACTCACAGCTGCTCAAGCCCAAAAACAGATGTGTAGAGTGATGCACAATCATCTATATGTTAAAATAAGACTTTTTTCGATTTGAAATCAAAGACCAATTACCTTTGTGGTGGATCTCTGATTAGGGTCTTCCCTTGATAGAAGGCAACCAACACCTATGGATGGTAGCTGTGTTTGGAATACAGATATGCGGCCCCCTGTTGCAGACATAAGTTTAAATGCAGCCTGCAAAGCTGGGCCCAAAGCACTGTGGGTCTCTCTTGTGTTGGTGAACATTGTCGGCAATACTTTCAGTAAATCTTTAATAAGCTACAAATAAATCAAAAACGCAATTAATATTTCTCAGCACGAAAACAAACATTTTATATAGCTTGCTGACAAATGTTTAGTCAGGATTTACAGCATTCCTTAGTACCATCCACGTGAAGCTAAAACATTACGGAAATTCCACAATGAAGAAACCTGACAATGTATTTGTGATTTTTCTGTACATTTTGTGCATAACTAAAAGGGGATGTTCAATAAAATACATCACTTCAAGATAATTCTGTTGGGACAGTGGCTTACTGTGCAAATTCCCTCAACAATAAAAATGGGTCAGAATGTTTCATGAACCAAAAAAACAAGGTGAGGAATACCATGCTGTGTCATTATGCTATTGGACAGGAGGCAAGGGAAAAGCAGCGGGTTTGGATATGCCAGATGATGCCTTCAGCACAACAAGAAGTCATCAAACACGAACACAAAGATACCGAACCAATAAAACAGCTGCCTCCAATAGTAATTACACACGGGGGAATAAAACTGCATCTTTTCATTTTTATTTTTTGTTCTGCTGAAAGAATGACTTTTTTCTGCATAGAACCCCTTAAGTATCGAGTTAGTCCCTTTAGTGCTTTCACAGAATTTACTGCATCAGTGCTATTGTCAGTACAGAAGACAACATTGATTTATTGACACTTAAAAAAATTATTATTTTGTTTATGTATCAAAAAATCCCAATGGGCATCGGTATGAAATAATTTTGTTATGCGTAACAGGGATATTTTCTTTCGTATAAGCTCAGACTGTAGAAATATATTAAGTGGTCCCTTGGTAGATCAGTAAGTTTAACCAGTGAGTAGCTGAACCATACAGATCAAGTTGTCTGATTTAAGTTGTGCACTGGTAGAAGTGGTAGTCGTGGGTCATAAGTGGAAGGAAGAGAACTAGAGACATGCGGCTCCCGATCTGTGCCCTATGTTGGAAGGGAGCACGTGATTAACAGGCGAAGACAGAATGAAAACAAAGTTGCACTGTCAATGCCACTCACACGTTCAACCGTTATTTGAATTAAGATGAGAGAACTGCATGTTAAGGGCCAAGGAGAATGGGAACAAATTTTATCAAATCACATACTCAAGAAATAATATGGTGGCCACAGGGGCAATTCCAGGTTCTAATTTTTAATCCATGCTCGCTAAACTACACATTAACATGCTGCAATCATTGACTTTAGCGTCCACACAAGTACAATGCTTTTCAATTTGTTGCAAATCTTTCCTTGTAATCTTTCCTCGTCAAATAACCAAACGTGTATAATCGCTGTAAAGCTATGCTAAGCAATGTGATCAATATAATACAATTTGCACAGTCCATTTCTAAACAGTTCTAAAAATTTGGAGTGAGGAATAATTTTGCTCAGTTACTAACACTTCTATGCATAACATTATTAACCAATACATTCATTGGATATCAGCTTTAAATTACACATGAAATTCTTTTTAAACTTTATCTTTGCTGTTTTCATTGTTTATTCGGATTATTTTCCTTTTGAAAGTCTGCTGTGTAATTAAGACTAGAAAACAGCAAACATTTTGAAATACAAATAGTATATGATTTTATTTCAGTTTTCTAGTCCAATTACCATTCTCTGTCAACTATAGAAATCCCTATTCCAAACACCACAAACAGTGGATTTCTAACACAACTTACAAAGTAGGAAGCAGCATTGAAAAACCATACTTCCTTGCTTCCATGGCAGCTTTCATCAATATAACTCCATTGTTTCTTTAAATTTCTTTAGTATATTTAACAATATCCTAGTCAGGTTCATGTTTTCAACAAAAAGATGCAAATGATTTTAGCAAGGACCAGACCCCTTATTAACAAATCCATTTTAACTGGTTGTTCCATGCAACTGTAACACATTAGCACTACATCAGTTAGGCTAGGGTACAGACAATTGGTTTTCTAAATCTCAAACAGCAACCAATGTATCTGAGCAGTCAAGCATTACTCTTACTTTGTCAGCTAGAGAGGTTCATAATGCTAAAGCACATGAAAATAGATAACTCTAGATAGAAATTTAGTACCCTAGAAAATCCAACTTGAATGTCTCACACACACATGCGCACACACACACCACACACCACAGCATTATTAACATATAGGTTCAATCGTTCTTGTTACGCAAGGAACTGCAAATTAAACATGCAATTTAGAAGCACAACAAAGTACATGAACCAGTTAAAAGCATTCTATAGGAAATACAAGATACCACGAGGAGTTCTGGTCAGTAAGTATCTCCAATATCTGACTTCTTGGCTGTACTACATGATAATTGAAAAAGAGGGAAGGCCACTGGCCAAAGAACACAAACAAGGTAAACTTGCTTCCCCATCCAAAATCTGGTTCAAGTGATTAAGGCCATCTACAATATCTGTTTTATCAGTGGGTTCTAGGTGACATTTATTTCCTCACCGGGGCATTAGGCAGTTGAGATTTGAACGCAACCCTCTTGTTTTAATCGATGCTGGATCGGGGATAGGCACCCAATTTGGTCTTAAAAGGCAACTTAAAATAATTTTAAAGAGGCTGCATACCTATAAGTCCTACTTACAAGTGCTGTCAGCCAGATTAGAGGAAAGCAGCAAGGGAAACCTGCCAGGTAAGAGGAGGACTACCCTTTACAGAAATTCATGGGCCAGGAGTAGAACATCTTACATTAGTCCACTAAGCTAACCCTGTAAGCCCAGAAACTCAATTCTATTATTTGCCACCCTCCCTCAGAATTTTATCTAAACTGCTGCCACCATAATCTTCTGTGACAGCCATGATTACCGAACTATAGTTTCTTGGTAAGTATCAAAAGCTTCTTATATCTTATCTCTTGGTAAGAGCAGAGATTTCCCAATGGTGTCATCAGGCATGAACGAACCACACACAGGCTCCTTTTGAGGAGTCAACTCAGATGGTTCTTCCTTCTCTATAGACTTCTGTAATGTCTAATTTTCTTAGAATGAAGTATCGTAACGTAGCCCTGGGAGAGTTTAACAACATGCATAATTTACCATTTGATTTCAGCATGGTACAGTCAAATGCATTAATGCCTTGTACCTGAGGGAAACAATTTGCTTCTCTGAAGTCTATGTAGGTGGGTGTATGGTAAAACAGTGCTTAATTTATCTCTGTAATGCACTGATTACAACTCTTGAAATATTAATTACAGGTGTCAAGAAGAACCCTGGAGGATAAAACTTGAGCAAAGATGGAAGGTGGTAGATATTCCTTCTAGTTAGTTCGCACAAACAATGCAGCATCTATACTCCTTGCTCACGAGACAGCTGTGTTATCCTGCATCATGTAAGAATCAAAAGCTGCTGCACGTTCTATGGAACTGTAAAGTCCATGTAATTGTCTTGACAGCCAATGTTAGGCCGAAACTTTGAAATTGTATCTTCTTTAATAAAACAAGCTCACAGTCAGTGAGGAGTTAAGTTAATTTCATAACATTCCCATTCCAAGAAAAATGCACAAACACTTTTAATTTCTCTTCAGGTATTTAAGAAGTGTTAAAAAAAAATTGAGATTTACCTTTCAAAGACATATTGAGAGTAAAATTGAAGTAATGACAAAAAAGACCAAACCTTTACCAATATCCTACTTGTTGACATATATAACTAAAGAGAAAAATAAATATTTGAATTTACATAGTCCCCTCTACTGAAACATCTCAAAGTGCACAGACACAGTTACTTTTATAGAGCATTGAATGCAGGCAAATAGAGAAGCCACTCTGCAATGTTTAAAAACCACCATCAGTAATCATATACATGACCAGTTAACCTGCTTGCTTTCGACCAAGGAAAAGTAAAGTATCGGAGAATTTTTTTTACGCCTTTTGAAATGTATCCGGGATCTTTTACAATAATCTCCCAATCAGAATAGGGAAGCGTTTGGCTTATCTAAAGGACTGCAGTGCAGGATTCTGTTCCTCTTAATATTTCACCAAAATGCCAGCCAAATGTTACTAACTCAAGCCCCGGCTTTGGATTTTAAATGACATCCCGCAGCGGTAAGAACTCCATCAACTGATTTAAGTTGACACATGTCTGCTCCCACTTTATTAATCTTTCCCCATGGTGGAAGATAGTTTTCAGTAAAGCAGCAGATTGGCATTAGCTGAAATTGACAGAATATACTTAAAAAATACTACCAGAGCATTCACGACTTCTTTTAAAAAATGGAAGGATCACAAGTTTTCTTTTTCCTTTGCCTACCTCCTTGCTTTCATGTAAGTTTACCATCAAGCTGTCTGGAGTAGGCAGGAAGATATCTGTAGAAGAAAGCTTTTATCAATTTTTGTGCAAAGAATGTACATTTTGACTAACAAGTAACTAAACAAAGTAGAACCAACCAAATATCAGAACTTTTAAAAATGGGCTTGCTTTACAATCTACGCTGAAGTTTCCCATCTGGGCTGCATTATCCAAAGTAGCAGTTGAGACACACCAATACAACAGTCCCCTGATACCAGGATCAGCTGAAGAATTAGAGACTGGCTATGACAGTATTTGAATTGTCAGGTTAGGACGTAGCAAAGAAACAAATGAGTTTCAGAAGATGGTTTGAAGCAAGGACGAAAGTAGACAATATTAGCAATGTGGAAACAGGTGGCCTTTATAATGCAAGAGGAAGAAAAAGAAATCAGTCAACTACGACAGAGCAGGGGCCAATAGAAGGGGCAAAGATGTGAGCTAGGAATTGTTAACAGGCACATGGAAGACCTGATCCCACATTGCAGATGATGTGACCAAGGATCAGCACACAGATGAGTAACAGGAGGGGATCAACCATAGAATCTTGGGGAAACTCCAGAGATATATGTGCAGAGGAAAAGAAACCATTTTTCGAGTTTCTCAACTACATTTCCTTCATAAGAACAGAATCAAGCTAGGACAGACCTGAATGAGGTGGTGATGGAAAAATGCATCACAGTTACAAGGGATATCAGCTGCAACTCGAGTTTGGGCCTTTTAACCCCCACGTGGGGAGAAACTCTGGAAAGGGGATGGGGGATGGGAAGGGTTTAAAAAAAGTTGTAATAAAGGGCAATAATACATTCAAGGACTCTGTTGGGGAAGTAGAGGTTGGGGTTAAGGTGATAGTTTATACGAAAGAGGGATTAAGGTGAACGTATTTAAAGGAGAAGCTGATTATAGCTGTTCTTTTAAAGAAAGAACCGTTTTTAATGAAGGCATAAACAGCATGGAGATCAAAAAGAAAACTCGGTTTGACATCAGTTTATGAGGATGGAGTACAGAAAGGAAGAGCAGAGAACTGACAGTCTCAAACTTAGTGACAAAGACATCCATGGAGTCCTTTGTTAAGTATTAAAGCAATAAAGGGAATATAGAAGATGACTGACTTTTGACATATACCCAGATCTTGAAATGGGAGGCCAACTTGATGAAAATAAAGGATATTATCTTGATTTAATAAAGACAGTGAATACAAAAGCAAATGGATAACAGTAAGCCTGTACAAATCACTGATTACACTGTAAGGAGAAGAGGAGGGTAGATGTTCACTTCACTGCACTCCGGAATAAAGCAGCATTTACCAGTAGCAGTGAATAAAGGTCAGGGACTTAACTAAGGCCACATTTCCTCATCTCCATGGATTTCCCCTTCGTGACATTCGTGAGCCTTTAACCCAGGTTCAAATGTTCTTATGAAAATTAAGTTGAAGGAGGTGACCCCGTCTCCCAACTCAATTTCTTAGGTAAAGAACTATTATACCTGACCACCAGGCTAAATTTGTTCATCACAAGGGTTTGTACTGCACCACCAGGGAACAGGTCAAAGAATAAGCAAACAAGTTTCACATTTATTTATTGAAATAAGCTCTCTTTTTTTCTCTCAGTTAGATGGGCCAACATCGTTAAAAGCTCCAAGCTTTCAGCAACGCTATCTAGTTTGAAGCCTAGAGGGATTTTGCTATGTGTTTGGAACAGAACAATATACTCACACACTGATAAAGAGAAAAACAAGTGGTTTTCTATTTCCCATTTTCTGTTTTCTCCCCAATATTTCAAACATAAATACTGCATTAATTCATTACCCAAGAAAAGCACTCACCCACAAGCCAGGACTGTGGTTAGTAAAAATACTCAAGTGAACATTTGAGCATTAGGACATATTATTTTAAATCAACAGTATCTGAAAGTACTGCACTGGCAATTTCCCTGGACTGGAAACCTTGAAGGTACAATAAGTAACAATCTGAATAATTTCACGTAGCTGACAAGGTGCTTTACTTTCCTTAAAGCCAATAGTGACACTGCAACTGACTGCTGGAATCCTAACTCCCTTTGATCATTCCTTTCCAAGAATCACTTATTAGAACAAGTGAAATAGAAGGTCATGGCTGATCTTCTACATTGATTCCACCTTCCTGAACTACCTCTGTCTCTTAATTCTTCTCTATCTTGTCTTAAATGTGCTCAGTGACTGAGCATCTGCAACTCTTCTGCCATATATGGGTGTACATCAAAGCTGGACAAAATACAATGCTTGGGTGGCTTTAACTGTAGAATCCAAATGACCAATAACCACAACTTCCTTGTATTAATACAAGATTGTGAAAAGAACTCTTCTTTCCTCCACTAGCTTCAAAGGGAATGATCTGTTCTGTGCTGCAACTGCCGCTGCATGAAAATTGACAGTATAGCAATTTGGAGGTGAGCTCTGGTAGTCTCTTGTTCCACAGCATGGCAATGTCATCTACTTCAGATAATTTATTTTAGCTGAAAATAATATCCCTCAATTCAAGATAAAGAAGTGCAATTTGACATGGAGCTTTCTCGCCATACCAAGCACGAGTCCAACCTCACTCTACATCCCTTCGAGGTGCTAGGCTTACAAATCAACTGAGTTTTATTTTCACTAATGTTGTGTCAGTGATGAGGTTGGACACTTATTTCGCCTAACACTTTGTTTCAATATAGTGATATGCATTGTGCACAATTTCCGTATTCAGCTAAAAGTTCAGCATTGCATGGAAAGATATTGTCAATTCGATCTGCTCTATTGAGTACAGTTACTAGCAAAACCGACTTTGAAACCTGGACCAAAACCACACTAAACAGTACCAGACAGCAGCAGCAGGCAGACTGAAACCAACATTAATTTATAAAGTATGTTTTCAACAGATCCAGTGAATTCAGGTTGAAACACCATGAAAATTAGTCAAATAATGTGAATTTTACATTGATAAAAATGAACAATTGCCAAAATTATTGTAGGATATAAACCAAAATAATTTTTGTTTATTAAATTACTGTGAAATTAGTTATTTTTCCAAGCCAGCTGAATCATTATTCAACATAACTGCACTGAAACTTGCGTTAGAAATTAAATTTTGATTTAGATGCACAAACTGCGTATAGTTCAATCACTGAAATGGACTTAAAATTAATCTCAAACTCACTTCTGCACTGTTTACTGTCACAGCACTACAAATGCACCAAAGTTTGATTACAATTGCAAAATGTGTTTTTAGTCATACCTTCAATATCTGACACAATCAACATTTGAGGCTGCGACAAGCCTTCCTGCAAGTTGAAGAAGTGAATTGTGCTATCAAATGTAATAAATCCTATTCTGGTCCTTGAATCTCCAGGCAACCTTAAAGATACATTTATATGCATACATTAGAACATGTAATCTTGGTCAGAAGCTTAAAAAGCAGCTTATACTTACCAAACACTGATATTTCATAAATCACCACCAAGAAATTGTACTTGTAATTAATTCTATTGTGGAATATTTAAAAACTAGATGAGAGCTATATTATTGTAAGGAAATTAAGTTTCAAACAACTTAAAAATGCATTTTAGGGTGAACAGCGGAAACACAAGCTATAACTTTTGAAGAGGTGCACGAATCAAAGGATGGTGGGGTCTCAACCTGTCTTAAAAAGGACAGTAGAGGCAGAAACCCTCATCACATTTTAAAACAAAACTTAGATGTCCTCTTAAAAGTGCTGTAGTTTATCGGATTCTGGTCAAGAACTAGAAATGGGATTAAGATGGATATCTTTCTCAGCTAGCATAGACATGATGAGCCAGATGGCTACCTGCTGCATTGCATATTTCCTACTTTTTATGGCTATATTAAAACAAGTTGAACTATAATTGCACAAAAGACACTTCCAGGTTACATCATTTCAGATTCCATATTACATTGAATATAAGGGAAGAAATAAGAAATTGGATGTAGAAGCAGGAGTAAGCTATTCAGCCTAAGTCTGTTACGCCATTCAACGAGATCATGGCTGATCTGATAATTCTCCTCCACTTTCTTGCCTTATCCCAACAACCTTCGAGTTACTTACTAATTAAAAATCCTAATTAAAAAATCTAATTTAACAAATATTCATTTAAACTGTCCCTATCCTTCTGCAGGTTTTTGGTGTCATCCTCACTGTTGACCTTCCCATCTATTTTTGTGTTTTCCGAAATTTGGCAAGAGTACATTCATTATCAAGTCATCAATATTACCCCATACAATTGGGCCTTAGCACTGTGCCCTGTGGCACTCCACTGGCTGCTATCCAGAAAATGCCTCCTGTATCCCGACTCTGTTTTCTATAAGTCAAGCAATCCTTTATACTACTCTCACTTCCATGTGTTTTTATCGTCTTAAGGTATTGCACATTAGGCTACTTATCAAATGCCTTCTGGAAATCCAAACACATTACTTCTACTGCTTCCCCTTTATCTACCCAGTAATATAGGCACTGTAATAAACTTGTCACGCATAAAGCCTTTGAAATGATCCCTATTAAAGTGCTATACTTGTACATTTGAAAAAAGGTGCTCTTACTTGTCAAAGTTTTCTAACAATGACTGACAACAAATGTTCAGGTATCCTGATTCCACTGCATTATGGGAAACGTCAAAAACGAAGAGGTAGACAGCAGGTTGAGGTGGTCGCAGCTGCAAAGAAAGCAATCTGGGCATTGAAATATATATACCGCAAAACATTTAAAAAGTGTTAAGCCACATGAAACACTAAAATATTTATTTTTACTTTGAAGTGTTTACAACTGTATTGTATTGCAGGATATGTACAAACAACCCACTTTTATTAATCCACAGACAACAACAGCTTGATTTAATTGGGTTCTTTAGAATGCAGCATTTTTACCATATAATCTGAAGAAGCGATGAACTCCACGGTTGCAGTTTGAACCTCTGGCCTTTTGTGTGGTTCACCATACGAACGTGTCAAAGGATTATACATAAATTCTTCAGGTACTACAATTTAAAGCAAAGAGAAAGATTTTAATTAAATGTGTAAAACTCCAACACACTTATTTATCCAATATATTCAAGTAGCTTCCTAAATACACAATCTCTTTGGTAAATTAGGCTTTGCACAACAAGCCAAAGAAAATGCCAAGGTTTGGAGCACCTAAAAAGCCCTTTCTGAAAATGTTTAATGTCCGAATTCTACTATATTCTTTGGCAGGTTGTTCTAAACATTCATTAATATATAAAGCTTTTACACCTAATTAACATTCCTTTAAAGCCAAGCTGGTGTTCATGTGCATGGCTGGTGTGAAAGTTACAGGTCTTGACAAATAAAGACTATGACAAGGAACATACAGGCATACAAACAGAAAAATTCAGGGGCTGTACAGTGCAAAAAAATAGTTGGCCACGCACAACAGCTACATTTTAAAAGAGATATTGCTCCTAATATCATTTCTAGTATATTCCTTCAGAGATATCTACATTTCACATTTAACATTCTAGGCAACAGATCCTACTCTGATTTAAGTGGAGCTCGTCCTAGCAGTACAGATTCTCTCTAACCTGGTAACGCTACCAAGTATTCTAGAAATGAAATTCTTCCTTTCAATGCTGCTCTTTTAGCTATGCATTCACTTTCCCTTTTGGCTTCTCCCTACGTCAAATTAACATGTTTTCTGTATAGAGGTTACCACCCATCAGGACTTATTTCTTATCTATTCATTCATGTTTAGCAGAACCTCCAGTTAAGAAAAACATTTGAATGGCTGTTTTTTGAAAGAAAACCTTCCATACTAGAACTGGAGGTAAAAGATCACACATTAAAGTGAAGTCAGGGAGACAAATGGACTTATTTTTGTCACAGTAAACAAGACAGGCTTAGTCCTTTTTGTAGGCATCCAAAGGCTTTGGAAAGAAAGAAATTATGCATCCTTTGAGAATTTTAACAATCCTAATTAATTATAAAAATAAGCATTTATTTCTCAGAGTTTGATTTTTCATATCTTAAGATTGCCTCAAATGATGCCAAACCACTGAGAAACATTTACTAGCTTACCATCATTGACTCGATAACACAGATTGCACTTCCACCTCCTTTGGTCAAGGAAGGATACAAACGGATTAATGTATGTCCTGCAGGTTCGGCATCTGACAATGGTGCTCGATGTAATCACGGGCAAATGCTAAATTGTTAATAAAACCAATCATTAGTATTAAGCAGAAATTCTAGCTTTGCTCACCAAAAAGAAAATTTTGCTAACAACTAAAACAAAACTTGTAAGAGTTAATTCCACACGCTAGCCAAAGCGAATAAAATGTTAACAGTACCTCCAGAGCAATTCTATGAGAAGAAATTCATGCACTGGCAGGTTTGCTTGCTCACTTGTCTGTGGAGCCCATTAGGGACAATGTTCCTTTCAGTAGGTGACGGTAGTTTTACCAACAATTTTAATGCTGATTAATCAACTTATGATGAAGCCCTAATCAGTCCCTTTAGTAGAAGTAAACCAATACAAAATTATAGTGTTTACTGAATGAAGTTCGAACACGCAGTGGCTATTTTCCTTACTTATCACCTGAATATTTAGACGCATAAACCTTACAAACCTGGGTAGAGGTGCTTTAGCACATTCTGAATTATTTAGAAAACATTTATCTTGAAAAGGATTTAAAAAAGACTTGCAAAATGGCTGCTTGAACATTTGCTCTGGGATTTCCTTTCTCCATTATATTCTGGCTGTCCAAGTAAGGAAAATTTAGATTATCATTACAAAAAACATAAACAGCTGAATAGTCACACTTTTATTAAATAGGATTTAATGTTCCACCTCTTTTAATGTTGAATGGAGGATTAAAAGGGACAGAGAAAATCCGAGGAATTTTTTCTTTTTAAATGTTTGTTGAATTTAAAATTTTAGCCATTGGCAGAGAAAAAAACCAAATACAGAAAATCATGACTAACGACTTAAGTATAACACAACAACAATACAACTATATAATGAGATGAGAGTGTAAGTTTCCAGCACAGTATGCCTCTCCCTCCATTTGAGCAGTATTTCTAGTCATTATGTTGGCTGTAGAAATTCCAAAATAGAACAGAGAAAGGGAATACCTTGCTGACTTTGCCTCCAGTGGTGGAGATCCTGAGAAACAAGGCCATTTTATTCAGTGGGCAATATGAATAACCAAGCAAGCAGTAGCTTACTGCTTCCCCATTATTACAGGTTGCTTTGAACAATATTGTAGGCTTTTGCAAAATTGCTTCTCATGCAGATTGTTTTCATTTTCCTATTGGTACATTTCTGATGTTATTTAGATATGGGGAGTTATATGGGGAGGTGATGGCCTAGTGGTATTATCGCTGGACTGTTAATGCAGAGACCCAGATAATGCCCTGGGGACCTGGATTCGAATTCCACCAGGGCAGATGGTGGAAGTTGAATTCAATAAATATCTGGAATTAAGTCTAATGATGACCATGAATCCATTGTCGATTGTCGGAAAAACCCACCTGGTTCACTAATGTCCTTTAGGGAAGGAAACTGCCATCCTTATCTGGTCTGGCCTACATGTGATTCCAGACCCACAGCAATGTGGTTGATTCTTAACCGCCCTGTGGGTGGTTAGGATGGGCAATAAATGCTGCCTATCCAGTGACGCCCTCATCCAGTGAATGAATAAAGAAAAATTTCCATTCTTCTACTGACAGGTTAATTATGGAATAAAAATTAATATAAGGCCTGTTCTTGGCACTAATCACAATAAGAGGCAACGTCAATTGATCTGGTTATTGCCAGCAATAATTCAAGGTATGGAGTACTAATTTAGTCATACAGTTGACTATGAAGGATAGTATGGGTTGATGGAGTCCATTGCACACACCAAATAAAAAGAAAAAGGGTGATTACCGTCAGGTCTCTGAAGGGATGAAGCAATAATCCAAGAGGAAGTTTTGCTTTGTTCAGCAAAGCCTGGGTCTGAGGGATATTCATCAGAGTGCATCGGAATAAGCTGGGATGAAAGGAACAACATCAAATCAGGCACTAATCCATTATAAAGTCTAGGGTAAAAATTCCATTCAGTTTTTCTAATTAATATGCTGCTTCTGGTGACGGCTTTCATTTTTAATATTGTGTATGCTCAGTGAAAAATTTATGCGGCACGCCTCAACATGTCTCTAATTAGGAGAGTTGAAAGGGGTACATGTAGGTAACACCCATTTGACAAATGTCATAGCGGCCTTTTTCTCATTGTTGATATATACATTTTCAGCACCAGAGAAAGCTTAAGATTTTGCCATCACCACAATTTTCTGTGCTCCTCAAGCTGAGGAATGTTCCTTCAGGAGATTGGCATTTTTGTCAGTAGCTGTCAACAGTACAATTAGGTAGCCACAACTTTTTGTTGTAACTTCAACACCACAATTTGGTTTGTACCATTGCAACATGTTTCGTTCATCATAGTGACCTTTCTACGCTCTTCTTTAAGATGCTTGTTAACTATGTGCAGATTTATGTTGTGGTGCCCAACACATCGAGAGCTGAGTCCAGGTTTCTCAGACTCTCTTCTGGAGGGTCTTTAATCGTCGCAGCAAGCATAAAAATTAACATATCCCATCAGTTCAAATGAGATGCCTCAGATCCATTTATTTGTGCAAATCATTTAATCCTTACGTGGCAGAAGTTTGGATTGCATTTTCCTTAAAAAAACACATGGAGCATGACAAAAATATTGGCGTCAATGATGATTTTGGGAGTTTCACCTTTCACTCTGAAAGTGAAATTAATACTAAAGTATCACAAACTCAAAACAATTCTACCTTTTGAATACCACAATTTGTCTTTTATTCCTACACAAGTTGTAAACAAATAAGAATGTGCATAGCTGGAATTTTTTTAAAAAAACTCAATGAATATATGATCACAAATCATAAATCGATTATTGGTGATAACAACACGGTGGTGTTATGGCTTACAAAGCTGAAAATGAAACATATGCAAAAACAGAAATTGCTGGAGAAACTCAGTGGAAATATTAACTCTGCTTTCTCTCCACAGACACTGACAGACCTGCTAAGTTTCTCTAGCAAGGTCTGTTTTTGTTTCAGATCTTCAGCATTCGCAGTTTTTTCATTTTAGTGAAGCACGAACAGTTGGGCAATTGCAATTTTTTCATCTATTGATGATTATAACCAATAGAAGGGATTTTTTCAGTTCCAGTGAAAAGACATTAGCTTGAAACTTTAACGCTATTTTTCTCTAAATCTGAGTACTTCCAGCATTTTTTATTTTTAATTTGCATTTTCAGCATCCACAGTATTTTGCTTTTTTCACTGACTTCTCAACTTCAAATAGAAATCAATATTATTCGAATACAAGTTCTTTAATATCAATGTATTACATAAAACGCAGAACTTTAATACAATTCAGCAACCATAACCCCAGAGATATTTTGCATCGCTCAATCATGAAGAACAAAGACTAATGCAAACATGCTTCACTTGCAAGAATCCACAATCCGCTTTGTTAAAAAACACTTACTCTGGGCTGCAGTTAAGTTTTTTCAGTTCTGGACTTAAATTGGATTGAGGGATCAGGTTTGGAACAGGTGGAAGGATATCCCGCTCTTGAAGCAGACTGACTTGCCTCAGAGCTTCAGTCCGCCGTTTATTCCGCAAGTTTAGACCCTCCATGTTTGACGACAGCTGATTAACACTGGAAAAGGGCTGCAATTAGATAAAAACTCTTGATATCATTTGATTTTACATTTCAAACTTCAGCATTGATTTTTCCACAAACTAAAATACGATCATTAAAATTTCATCAAATACAAGTTATTTAATATCAACTAATTTTACTATTGAAATATTGTTGCTAAGAATTCTGCTGGAATATGTAAACACTCAAAAGATATTAAGATCGCCAGTTTGAAGGGTATGCTGTAATTACAATTCAAAACAACTGTATAGAAACTGCACTGCAATCAATCTTAACATATGTCTGCAAGCAATTCTGATTTTACAAGAAATTTTCAGGTCTCTAAAACTGACAATTCTATATTCTACTTCAACAGCTAGTTTCAAATAAAGGTGTTGATTTAATTTTCATTTAATGATTAACCATGCCAGATTTGTTCTTCTGAAGATGATCAGCAAGCCATAGTCAAGCATAATTACTTGAAATTTGGACCTGATTTTCAAACCTACTCACAAGAAAATTAATTTATACCATTTAAGTCCAGGGCAACGTGAAGATGCATTTCCGGTCTAGATGTGACAGAAATATGTGCACAATATCAAACTTCCATCTTTTTCAGAAGGGGAGAAGAATATGTTATGATGCAAATCCGAGGCACATTCATAATAAGATTACGTTCAAACAAAATTTTCTACTGAAGAAGCAGATCAACTAAATCACATTTGTCTCTCCTAAGGCTGTTTAATAGAAGAATGTTGTAATACAGATTCTTCATAATTTTAACCATGCTCCCAACCCTCCTCTGCATTGAAAATAATATCACATATGAAATATTTCACATGCAACTTGGGAAAGTTCCAGCAATTTCCCATTTCCTGCCCTGCCAGAAACTGACATATGCACTTTAGTAAATTATCAAGACCCTACTTATGAAGCATCACAAAGTAGCTACACCTCTCATCCTTAAGAATCTCAAACTGCAATGGTAATCAGATGTAACGGTAAGTGCACAATATATATCGTTATCATTTTTGGAATTTGGATTGCTTTAAAAAAAAAAGGCAGGTGGATTTTGGTTACTCATACCAAAGCAATTGTTTCTGTGAGGTTAGCAAGTCATTTTGAAACAATGACCCAAGTCCAACATTGCTCAGAAAGCATACAACTGTACACCTCAGTGGTAATTGGTTTATATACTGTTGATTTTATGACAGATAGGATAAACACAATTAACCTTATGACAGTGCAGAAAACACCAGAATTGAGTTCCGAAGCAAAGTTCTGTTTTCTTTCCTAGCAGTTCAATGAAGCCAGTCGTTCCAACAGAAGTGTCTAGTTTGGGAAGCTTCCAGGCCTGGAGAATTTGGATAGAAATCCAAAGTTTTGAAACTGGGAAAGTTTCCGTTCTCAAATTTGGGAACAGTTCAGGGAAGTGGACTCAGAAAGGAATCATCAAATTGTCTCTATATTCCATGGAGAGAACCTAGGAGTCACTTAAACCGAACTAACTGGTTGAGATACAGGTGTAATTTGTCTGGTCTTGAACCTGTAACAGACGATGCTAGGAAGCAAGTTTACATTTTGTTTTGAACTATCTAACTGTAGGACATACATCACTTAGTTTATAACACAAAGAAAAATGAAACCAAGTGTTCTGTTGCTAAAGATCATCAGCAGCCTCATGTCAGTGATTAGCCACCACACTACTAAAACAAAATGATATATTAAACCAGGGGTTTCATTCCAGCATCTGATCTGTCCAGTAGTACCATCAGTTGGGATTATAAAACAGGTTATGTTAATGTTGGTTTCCTCTGATATTATTTTACTGTATTTTATCAATTTATTCTGCTTCTTACTCCCTCAGGTTTCTCTGTAGATTCAGAGCAGTTATGAAACATGTTTTCCTCAATCCATTCAAATTGCCAGAACGCAAGGAACAGACATATGCAAAATTGGAGGTAAATAACAGATTTCAACTTATGAATATGTCAAAATCAATTCCACAAAAGAACGATATCCTCTCAAAAATGCTGCTATTCTGAAAAAAAATAGCATTGAGTCTCCTGGTTAGCTCACCCGCCTGGCCGACCATTATCAAGCATTCCCCTTTATAAGGGGTAGGTCATGTGAAGGTCATCAAGAGGCTGGTCTGAGATCATTTACCTGAGTAAACTGCTGAGGCCCTGGAGAATATCCTGGGCCAATAGGCTGATTGACAGAATGTGAAGGAGAAGCTACGTTCTGGTAGCCAGGTTGGAGAGTTGGATAAGCGTAACCAAATGGTTTAGTACTCTTCAATGGACATGGATCAGAAGGAGCAGGAGCTGTGGTAGCTGAAGATGTTGAATCTGCAAAGATTGAAGCACATGTTTACAACAATAATGAACAAAGTTTGCATTTATATAGCATCTCTCATGATTTCCTAAAGTATTTCAACAAATGAAATACAGTGACGATTGAAATGCAGCAAAACATGTCAGCGAAAATGTACACAGCACTGTGCTACAGTAAAATAATCTACTTTTAGCTGTGTTTGCAAAGAGATAACCAGAACAATACATGTGTTGTTTGAGAGGAAGAAGCTTGAATCAGATAAAACGGAATTACAATTGAGTAAAAGGTAACTACAAAGACATAAGGGAGGAGCTGGCTAGAGTTGATTGGAAGTGGACCATAGCAGAGAAGATGACAGAGCAGCACTGGTAGGAGTGTCTGGCGTAATTGGGATGCACTACAACAATTTATCCCAAGGATGAAGCAACATACTAAGGGGAAGACAAGGCAACCATGGCTGACAAGTGAAGTCAGGGATAGCATAAAGGCAAAAGAAAAAGCATACAATGCAGTGAAGATTAGTGGGAAACCAGAAGATTGGGAAGCCTTTAAAAACTAGCAAAGGACAACTTAAAAAATACAATAAATGTGGAGAAGATGAAAAAAGAGCAAGCTAGATAGTAATACAAAAGAAGAATAGAAGAGTTTTTTTTAAAAAGATAAAAGGTAAGAGGAGCAAGAGTGGATGTGGCACCACAGCATAATGAGGCTGAAAAAGTAGTAATGGGGAACAAAAGAAATAGCAGGGGAACTGAATAGGTAATTTGCATCAGTCTTCATGTGGAAGACACCTGTAGTATACCTGTAGCATACCTGTAGCATACTTCAAGACAGTCAGGGAGGAGAGGTGAGTGAAATGGCCATCACTAAGGAGAAAGTGCTGGGTAAACAAAGGTTTGAAGGTGGATAAATTACCCAGACTGAATGGACTGCATCCCAGGGTTTTGTAGGAGATAGCCAAGGAAACTGTGCAGGCATTGGTGGTGATCTTTTAGGAATCACTGGAGTCAGGGAGGGAACCCAAAGGACCAGGAAATGGCTACTGTAACATCCTTATTTAAGAAGAAAAGGGAGGCAGAAGGCAGGAAATTACATGTTGGTTAGCCTGACCTCAGTTGTTGGTAAGGTTTTACAGTCCATTATTAAGAATTAGATTGTGGAGTACTTGGAAGTGCATGCTAAAACAGGCCTGAGTCAGCATGGCTTCAGGGGAAGGTCATAGAGTCACAGTGAAATAAAGCACAGAAAGAGACCCTTCGGTACAACTCATCCATGCCAACCAGATACCCTAAATTAATCTAGTCCCATTTGGCCCATACCCTTCCCTATTCATGTTCCCATCCAGATGCCTTTTAAATGTCGTAATTGTACCATCCTTCACCACTTCCTCTGGCAGCTCATTCCATACACGCTGCATGAAAAAGGTACCTCTTACCTCCCTTTTAAATCTTTCCCCTCTCACCTTAAACCTATGCCCTCTAGTTTTGGACACCCCATCCCAGGGAAAAGACCTGGTCTATTTACCCTATCCATGCCCCTCATGATTTTATAAATCTCTATAAGGTCACCGCTTAACCTCCGATGATCCAGGGAAAATAGCCCCAGCCTATTCAGCTTCTCCCTATAGCTCAAACCCTTCAACCCCGGCAACATCCTTGTAAATCTTTTCTGAACCCTTTCAAGTGTCACAACAGCCTTCCTAAAGCAGGGAGACCAGAACAGCACACAGTAATCCAATAGTGGCCTAACCGCTAAATTGCCCGTAAAGTTCAGTGATGTGTAGCTCAAGTGGGTTATAGGGGTATGGGTCTGGGTGGGATGCACCGAGGTTCGGTGTGGACTTGTTGGGCCGAAGGGCATGTTTCCACACTGTACGGATTCTATAACCAACACCCTGTACAGCAGCAACATGACGTCCCAACTCCTACACTCGATGCACTGACCAAGTAAGCATACCAAACACCTTCTTCACTATCCTATCTGCCTGGGACTCCACTTTCAAGGAACTATGAACCTGCACTCCAAGGTCACTTTGTTCAGAAACACTCCCCAGGAACTTACCATTAAATGCAGCACCTCACATATAATCGAAATTAAACTCCATCTGCCACTTGGCCCACCAGCCCATCTGATCAAGATCCCGTTGTACTCTGAGGTAACCTTCTTCACTGTCGACTACACGTCCAATTTTGGTGCAATTTTGTCATCTGCAAACTTACGAACGTACCTCCTATGTTCACATCCAAATGATTTATACAAATGATGAAAAGCAGTGGACCCAGCACAGAGAGATAGTAAGAACTGCCGATGCTGGAGTCAGAGATAACACGACGTGGAGCTAGAGGAGCACAGCAGGCCACGCAGCATCAGAGAAACAGGAAGGTTGATGTTTCGGGTTGTAACCCTTCTGAAGAATGGACCCAGCACCGATCCTTGTGGCACACCGTTGGTCACAGGCCTCCAGTCTCAAAAGCTACCCTCCACCATCACCACCCTCCACCATCACCACCCTCCACCATCACCACCCTCTGTCTCCTAACTTCGAGCCAGTTCTGTGTCCAAATTGCTAGTTCTCCCTATTTTTCATCTGATCTAACCTTGCTTTTCAATCTACCGCGAGGAACCTTGTCAAATGCCTTACTGAAGTCTACTGCTCTGCCCTCATCAATCCTCTTCATTACTTCTTCAAAAAACTCAATCAAGTTAGTGAGACACGATTTCCCACACATAAAGCCATTTTGACTATCCTAATCAGTCCTTGCCTTTCCAAGCATATGTAAATCCTGTCCCTCAGGATTCTCTCCAACAACTTGTCCACCGCTGATGTCAGGCTCACTGGTCTATAGTTCCCTGGCTTTTCCTCAACACCTTTCTTAAATAATGGCACCGCGTTAGCAACATTCAGTCTTCTGGCACCTCACCTGTGGCTAACAATGATACAAATATCACAGCAAGGGGCCAAGCAATCACTTCCCTAACTTTCCACACAGTTCTACGGCACACCTAATCAGGTCCCAGGGATTTATACATCTTTTGTGTTTTAAGACATCCGGCACCACTTCCTCTGTAATAGGGACATTTTTCAAAATGTTGCTATTGATTTCCCCACATTCTATCTTCCATATCCTTCTCCACAGTGAAAACTGATGCAAAATACTTGTTTAGTATCTCCCCCGTCTCCTGCGTGTGCAGTTGCACAAATAAGCAGCCTTGCTGTTCTTTAAGGGGCCCTACTTTTCACCTAGTTAACCCTTTTGACCTTAATACAACTGTAGAATCCCTCTGGATTCTCCTTAACCCCATTTGCCAAAGCTTTCTCATGTTCCCTTTTGCCGTCCCAATTTCCCTCTTAAGTATACTCCTACTGCCTTTATATTCTTTGAGGGATTCACTCAATCCCTGCTATCTATACCTGACATATGCTTCCTTCTTTTCTTGACCAAAACCTCAATTTCTCTGGACATCTAGGATTCCCTAAACCTACCAGCCTTACCCTTCACCCTGACAGGAACACACTGTCTCTGGACTCTCGTCATCTTACTTTTGAAGGCTTCCCATTTTCCAGCTGTCCCTTTATCCACAAACATCTGCCCCCAGTCAACCTTTGAAAGCCCTTGCCTAATACAGTCAAAATTGCCCTTCCTCCAATTTAGAACTTTAACTTTTAGGTCCGGTCTATCCTTTTCCATCACTATTTTAAAACTAATAGAATTATGGTCACTGGTCCCAAAGTGCTCCCCCATTGACACCTCAGTCACCTGCCCTGCCTTAGTTCCCAAAAGTAGGTCAAGTTTACACCTCTAGAAGGTACATTCACATACTGGATCAGAAAATTTTCTTGTACTCACTTAACAAATTCCTCTCCATCCAAGTCTTTAACACAACGGCAGTCCCAGTCTATGTTTGGAAAGTTAAAATCCCCTACCATAACCACCCTATTATTCTTACAGATAATGAGATCTCCTTACAAATTTGTCTCTCAAATTTCTGCTGACTATTGGGGGAGGGGTTGTCTACAGTACAATCCCAATAAGGTGATCATCCCTTTCTTATTTCTCAGTTCCATCCAAATAACTTCCCTGTCACATTCCTAGGAATATCCTCCCTAAGCACAGCCGTAATGTTATGCCTAATTAAAAACGCCAATCTCCCTTCTTTCTTGCCCCTCTTTCTATCCTTCCTATAGCATCAATACCCTGGAACATTAAGCTGCCAGTCCTGTCCATCCCTGAGCTATATCTCTGTAACTGCCATGATATCCCAGCTCCATGTTCCCAACCATGCCCTGTGTTCATCTGCCTTATGTGTTAGGCCTCTTGATTTGAAATAAATGCAGTTTAATTTATCATCTCGTTCTCTGCTTTGTTCCTGCTTGTCCTGACTGTTTGACTTGCTCCTTTTCCCAGCTGTACCAGTCTCAGACTGATCTCTTTCCTCACTACTGGTGACAAATCAGTTAGAATTCTTTGAGGTGGTACCAGGCAGCTTAGACAAAGAAGAGCCAATGGGTGTGATCTATTTGGATTTCCAGATGAGGTGCAGCACAGGAGGCTGCTTAATAAAATCCCAGAGTGTTTGGGCAAAGGTACTGGCATGGATAGAGGATTGGCTGACTGACTGAAGGCAGAGAGTGTGGATAAAGGGGTCTCTTTCAGGATGGCAGCCAGTAACTAGTGGAGTTCTGCAGTGGTCAGTGTTGGGACCACAACTATTCATGTCATACATTAATGATCTGGACAAAGGAACTGAGGGCACTTTTGCTAACTTTGCAGATGACACAAAGATAGATGGACAGACAGGAAATGTCGAGGAAGAGGGAAAGCTGCAATAGCTGTAGTTGAGGAAGTGGGGTGTCTCAGAAGGACTTGGACAGGCTAGAAGAATGGGCAGACAGAATAAAACATGGGAAAGTGTGAGGTGCTCCAGTTTGTTAGGAAGAACCAAGGCATAAACAATTTTCCAAATGGGAAAAGTTTTTGAAAATCTGAAACACAAAGGGTCTTGGGACCCTGGT